AAAATGTGTTGGAAAAGCTGAACACAACTAGTGTTTGGTTGATTTGTAGGGATGTCCCGATCCGATCACGTGATCGGGGATCGGGAGAAAAAAATCGGGGATCGGAATTTTTTTTCTTTTTTTTTTTTTTTTTTATAAAATATTTTTATACATTTTATTTAATGTTACAAAACAAAAATGACCATGTTCACGTCTTAAAGTCATCCTGAGGCCTTAGTTTTGGGTTAAAATTACACAACATCATGTATGTGTTGCTTCTTTTGGGCTTGTTTTCATAGACCTGGTTGCTTATTTCTCTCAAATCTGGCAACAGAGTGGGCAGGGCGCAGTGTCTAATAGTAGCAGTAAGCTAACGAGAGGCTACGTTCAGCTGGTGACTCGGGAGTCGGGACAGAGAAAATGTCAGCCAGATGCAATGTTTGCAAGGCGGAGGTTCCGCGTGGTGGAAATAACAGAGCTACGTTCAACATGACCAATCTAATACAAACACCACCAACAACAACACGACGAGTACACAGCGGCCACTCAGGTAACGGCACTGAAACAACCGACACTTTCAGAGACTTTTAAAAGGAAAGAGAAACTACCCCAGAACAGTGAAAAGGCCAAAAAAATAACAGCCAAGATAGCTGAATTCATCGCGTTGGATGACCAGCCGTTATCTGTTACCTTTTTTTCCTCTTAATGCATTGCATAAAGATCGGATCGGGAAAAATCGGTATCGGCAGATTGTCAAAATCAAATGATCGGAATCGGATCGGGAGCAAAAAAAGGTGATCGGGACATCCCTATTGATTTGTATACACAAAAGAGTTGTGGCAGTACGAAATGTTTCTTTAAACCAAACAGAGAAGAACGCTCACTTGCACAATAGTTTGGGACTAATGCTGTGAACCATGGACTCACCAGACTGTGTGAAAGCACAGTTCACAGTATCTGTACATATAAAAACCCTTTCAAAGAAACTATTGAATTCTGTTAACAGTGCAGTGACCCCTAGAGCAGTGCAAGTCAGTCAACCCCAATGGCATCCCAATGTTTGATTTACATATTGTGAGAACTTAAAAGATCAGGTATTCAGACAAATATTTGCTTGTTTTTACTGCTCCCTTACTTCACCTTGTTTGCCTCTTTAGCTCTTACTCTCTCTTGGTTTACACATTAGCTCCCCTCTGCCTCCTATCTGAGTATCTGTGGGAGCTTTGCCCCGCTGCAGAGCAGTGACCTGCAGGTCAGAGTTCAGAGCCAAAATAAAAACTATAGGAGAGTCACAGGGATATTACCTTGGTGTCACATCACACACAGCCCTTTGATCCATATCACACCTATGTGCATTTACACAGGCTGGTGCAGTAACACACATAAAGGCACTGAAGCATATTAAACAAATATATATTTTACTTTCCAAATATTTTTTTCAGTTGATAAATCGACTTTATAGCTTTACAAACACGTGTTTTGTAGTTTGGTTTTGGTTTGAAAAAATGTATAATGTTGTAAACCTCTCTCAAATGCATAAGCAGACATAGTCAGAAATGAGGTGTGGCAAGCTGTGATGTGAAGACGCAGGCGGAGGTTCATCCAGGAAAATGTGTTTATTTTCGCTGGCCAATGGAAGCTTTAGAAATGGAAAACCTACTTATTAAATGCAACCGTCAGACAGAGCCAAATCTATAATGCGTCTGTGTTTCCCCGGCACTGCGACCTTTTAGTCCAAATGTTGATAGGCCTTAATTGTATTTAGCTGCTGTAATTCCACGAACAGTCTGACCCAGAGGCTAATCCAGGGCAGCCAGGCAGCGAACTGTGCACTCTGCCAGCTGCCATTTGCTGAAGTGGCATTTTAAAAGTCGCAGCTGAAATGTCCCATGGTACCTCTGTTTGCATGCATCTCTCCTCATCTATCTCATTCTCCTGCCCTCATTTTATAACCCTCCTTTGTACACGTGATGCTGTTTTGTTTTGGGTTTTAGGGATTTGCTGGGCTTTGTCTGCCCTCAATTTGGTGTGTTACTTACAGTAGATGGCAGTCGACACGCCCCCCAGTCGTGTTAAATACGCTTAAATAAGTAAATCAATACCAGGTCAAGTGTTTGCTAATTTGAGCACATTTCTCCTACTTTACCTTGCAGACCATGGGAGTTTCTGGTCTACTGCTGCCTCATGTTTTTGTGTGATTTTGATTAGTTTAGGTTCACCAAAATCAGATAAACAAACGTATAAACTAACCGATCCAGGCAGCAACTCCTGTGTTTAGTCAAATCACACTTTTCTGCCAGCTTTTGCAAGAGCTATATGGTAAGATACGGTGAAACTATTATAGTTTTTATGTTGCACATTTCTTTCCTACTCTAGGTAATACAGTGACTTGACAACCCCACTTCAAACAATCCAAATGATCCCTCTAGCAGTTCAAGCTTTTTCCTCCGCTTGTTTTCTGATGACAAATTAAATCAAGCTCAACCACAGTGCGCACACCAATTAAAAAGCAGGAAACAGCTAATGGCAGACACCCAAATGTGACTTTATAGCCCCCCCCCCTCCTTTATTCTCTATCTCTGACCCTGCTTTTCTTTTTTACTTATCCTCAGGCATCTGTTTCTCCGTAATGTCATTTCGGTCTCTGTGGCTCTCTCTCGCTGCCCTGCTCTTTGCCAAGACACAACATCTCTCTGTCTCTACACTTGCCTGTCTTCCTCTATTAATTTAGACCTTTCCAAAAATCTCCCCTCTCTCCCTTTTCTCTCCTCTCTGCTCTTTCGTGTCATCCAGCCGGCTGTAGGCGAGGAAAAACAGTGACTTATGTGTCTGAGTCAGAGCTACTCAAGTGCTCTGCCCCTCAGCCACGAGTGACCTCCACAATGAGGCTTTTGAAAAGTCAAGTGGATCAAGTAGATTCGCCACCATCTGCAGGATTAAGCACTAATCAATATGAAAGCAGATTAATAGCTATGAATTCACATAGCAGACACATGAGAGGAAGCCGAGTCCCAACAGGTCGTGGCATTTTTGATGCGTTATTTCATTTTGAAGAATTTAAGTGAGGGACATAAATGTTTGGCATGATGAGTTTTTACAACTAGGAGATTTTTAGGTCATAGGAGTGCTCTGACTTAGATTAAGAGAATAAGGGAAGAGCCCGTCGAGGTAGTCCTCTTAGGGAACAACAACAGAATTGGTCCTTTTAGCATTTGCCCCGAAATGTCAATGTTCAACCCAAAGCCCTCCAGAGGCCTGAGGAGTTGTGACTGTTGTCCCTTGTAAGCAAAGGACGAAATATAATGTTGGTAATTCAGAACGACAAAGTCTTTGTAGGGAGAAGTTTAGGGAATCCCTTTTCATCAAGTCCTAGACTCAGTACTTCAAAAACACGTGAGTCTAACTATTTTGATATAGTATTGCTAATATTTCATCAAACATGTTTTCCTTTCTTTGGGATTCTCCATTGACGGTGGAAGAAAATGTTTTTATTTGCTGCTTGATTAAGAGCACTTGTTGAGTGAACACTGTGGGATGCACTTCAGAGTGTCTGGAAACATATCTCATCAGGTCGACTTTGGTAAAGCCTTACACTCGGACTACATTCCCCCCCCTGCTACTCAAGGCAGTGTTACATATTCTTTTGTTTGTGAAATCCTGCAAAGACAGACACGTGCGGCTAATCTGACAGCCTTCCTTTGCAAAGCGAGACGAGAGCTGCGGGAGAGCGAGTGACAAGGAATGTCCCATTGTGCAAAAACATCTTTGTGACAGGCAACACCTCTTCATATCTCCGCGCAGCGCTGTTTGCTCAAGGAGACCACATTCTTGTCCGGGAACACACAGGCTGACACAAGTTCACAGGGAAAACTGGTAGTTTGAGGTCAATACCTTTTTGTACAGAGGTATTGTTTCTGCTCAGAAGACAGGCTAGAATTAAAGGCATTTTTATAACGCTCGTGAGTGATTTGACCTCTCGTTTTTCAGCCGGTGCTTTCAATTGACACAGCTGCTGCGTGTGAGGTGACAGGTGATGCGGAGTTGAAAAGCATTTTCCGAACCCCCCCCTCCCTTTTATTTCACCCGCCTGCTCCCACCTGTCTCTTTATGTAAACCACCACTCTCTATCTGAAGCCTCATCTCAGGCTGTATTCAAATACATTGAACTCCACACCTCTCCTCTCTCTTCCCTCAATCTCTCTTTTTCTCCCCCTCCACCTTATCTCACCATTTCACCCTTTTACCTAATTTCCCCCCTCACATGTCCCCCTCCTGCCCTTTGCATTCCCATCGCCTCTCTCCCCCTTATATCTCTCTGTGTAACAGTAGATGGAGTCATTAGTCAGACAGTGGGGATGACTGAACAGGTGTTTTCCAAATGGGCCTTTGAGCACTCGCCGCATCATCATTGCACCACGGGGGGGGGGGAGGTTGGGCGTTAGAGTGTGTGTAGGAGAGCTTTGGCCTCTGCGTGCCCTTTTCGCCTCAGGCTGAGCCATTTGCCAGTAGAGGGAGGGGAGGGGGCAGCATGTTGCCGTATGTATTCATGTGAGTATGCATATGTGGGTGCATAACATGTGTAGGTGTGAAAAAGTGTTATATCTTTACCAGCTGCTGCTTGTCATTACTCATTGATGCACTACATCCTTGGTCAGGCCACTTTCCACCGCTCCACTGAAAAGACGAGCGCTGACATATTTAGGAGTCAGAGAAATGATCCCGTCTCCACACTTTTTTGCCCCTTTGACCCCATTCTACAAACCCCCCACCCAACAGATTTGACATACCCAATTTCACTCTTTCTTTTATGTCTTTGTCTCCTTTACTTACAGTTTTTCCTTCAGGCTTTAACGTTTTACTACGCTTTACATGCAGATATTTTACGGTCCGTTAAAAGTCTTTGTGTTTACTGAGATGAAGACAAAACATAAACTGAGTAAAAATGTCGCCTATTCATGGGTTCTATATTCTGATTTATGCTGCTGAAGTGTCAATTTCATGTATTTCTTTTCTTCCATTAGCTGTACAGCGAGGACGCACATCGAACTCCCAGACCAGCCCGGGGCAGTACCTGACCAACGGCACCGACCCGTACAACGGCCAGCCGTACCTCTCCGGCTTCATCTCTCTGTTGCTGCGCGCCGAGCCTTACCCCACCTCTCGCTACGGGGCCCAGTGCATGCAGGGAAACAACCTGATGGGCATTGAGAACATCTGCGAGCTGGCGGCCAGGCTGCTCTTCAGCGCCGTGGAGTGGGCCAAGAACATCCCCTTCTTCCCCGACCTGCAGCTCATGGATCAGGTGAGAATTTACACTAAATGATCTTAACAGCAACGTTGAAGGAACTATTTAAGAGAATCCTCCTATCAACTCACTAATGGTCATGTTATATCTCATTTGTATTATGATTAATAAACTTATTCTGTATCTCACCCTCTCAAGCACTTTGAAAAAGATAATCAATTGATTTTTTTTTTTTCCTTATCTGTGAATCGACATCACTCAGTGTCACATACAAATAATTCAGTTTAGTTATTATTCACTGAAGGCAGGAACAGGCGTGGTGTCAATGGTCCTCTTGTAGATTTACACCAGCTGTAAATTCCTGGCACGGAAAGAATCGCCTGACCTATAAATATTCACGTGCACCTTGGGCAGACATAGTCATCACAAATATGTCATGCTGTAGCTGCACCATATCTTATATATATCATTAACGTCAAGTCAAAATATAGCATGCATTGGTCCTGTCTCAAATTGTACAAGCAGCTCTATATAAAACCGTTTTGTATGATTATTTTCAATGTTCTTTCAAAACACTACACCTGACATCCAGACGTGTCTTGAAACTTAACTGCTTCTATAGTTAACAGTCTGTCAGTGTAGACAACATAATTGAAATGCCTTAAAATAGAGAACTTACTTTTAGCAATTAACCATCATTTCAAATTCTGCTATAAAGGTGGGTCATATATGTGAAAATAAATGTCTGTTGCCCTTAACACCATTAAAATAATTCTACAGTTTTTGACATACGATCTGTAATATTCATAAATTATTCGCTCTCAGGAGCTATGCAATTTTCATTTAAATTCCCAATGCAGATTTTAGTATTATTATTTTAACCCATACAGTATAAATTAAGATTAATATGTTTACATATCAAAAGACTCGTCACATCCTCTTGTAACTTTATGACCTTTAAAACTGACAATAAACGTTTCATCGCAGTTATTCATCCTTACAATCACCTTTTGCCAGTTGGACACTCTGTTTTGTTTGCCTGATTTGCCTGATTTGTTTATGCTTCCTTCTTCCTTCAGTTATTGAATATATAACTTGTGTGTGTATATATCACGTGCATGAATAGAGTTCCTGTTGTCTGGCTAGTTAGCATTTCCTCTTTTGATAATGTCACCAAATTCTGACCTGGTTAAGATTATTAGATGTTTAGTGCTTTTCGTGTCTGGCTAGACACTTAACATTAGTGCTATTGAATTACAGTTTGACACGTGTTAATGATAGGTGGAAGTGCTGCTTGAAGTATGCAAACCATGAGCACTTGCCAAACCTGCTACCGCATTTACACATCATTCCTGATAGATACATTTTGATTGATTGGATCCAATTAACAAACCTTTAGTATTTAGAATCATTATCTTGTCCCCATTACGTCCATATTTTGGATTAAAAAAAAATAGTATTTGGTTTTAAAGGTCACCTATTATGCAAAATCCACTTTTTCATGTCTTTTATACATAAACATGTGTCCTCTCTGTGTAAAGAGATTCTGAAAGTTTCAGGAAAAAAGCTTCGCTCACTTTTAGTCTTGATCCATTTATATAAAAACCTGTCTGAAAATGAGCTGATCAGATTGTTGCCACTTTATGATGTCACAACGATTTTTTGGCTTGTGTAACCATTAGCCAATAACCAACCAAGGTAACACCCCCCACCTTATCACCTGAATCTCCTCCTAGAGCACACTGTGTTCTTTTTAACCAAATATCTCTCAGAGGGGCGTGGGGAGTGGCTCCTTATTTTCATTTAAAGTAACAGACAGAGATTCAGCGCTTTTGAAACAGGGCTGAAACAGAGAGGATTATGGGATGCTACAATGCATGATCTGTTTGATATTTCGAGCAAAACACTTCAGAGACATGTTTTGTATATATCTGAGACCTATAATATATTGATGAAAAACAGTATAATAGGGGACCTTTTAAGTGTCTCAAATCCAGACCTGTCGACCACTTCTGATTTGACCTCAATCTGATTTCCTAGGTGGCTCTTTTGCGTATGTCCTGGAGCGAGCTCTTTGTCCTGAACGCCGCCCAGTGCTCCATGCCGCTCCACGTGGCCCCTCTGTTGGCAGCGGCAGGCCTGCACGCATCGCCCATGTCAGCGGAGCGCGTGGTGGCCTTCATGGATCACATCCGGGTCTTCCAGGAGCAGGTGGAGAAGCTGAAGGCCCTGCAGGTCGACACGGCTGAATACTCCTGCCTCAAGTCCATCGTGCTCTTCACGTCTGGTGAGTTTCATTAAAGCTTAATAAAAACACTGAGAGACACAGAGAAACTGCATGAAATGTCAAATGTGACGCGTCTCTTTGAAACAGGATTTTATTAGCAGTGGATGGCTCCAGAGTTGGTAATAGAACGTTTAGAAAGGATAGGAAATTCATAACCCAAAAATGTCATGTCATTGGTATTTCTGCTTTCTAAGCTCTTAAATGTTGCACAAAAATGAGAAGAGGAAAAGAGAGAAATGCTGCAAGTTATGAAATGCATCAACAAATTAACATGAAACCACGTAGGAACATTTATTCAGTCATGGTAAACAGACAGTTGTAACAATTCATAATTGACTTAAGTTTGAAAGTAGAATTATTATAAGTCTGTATTTATGGTAAAATAAATCAATTACTAATCAAAAAGATGACAAATGAATTGTTGAGACTAACTTGGGTTGATTGTACCTGGTGAAGGAACTTTTAAGATGCTCTGATCTTTACTCTCTCCTTTATTGGTAGATTCTGATCAAAAATGCAACATAATGTCACCTCTCTCTTGTGAGTGGCTTTACTCCTGCTCAGGCAGAAGGGAAGGAATTAGCAGGCTAGTGAGCTGACATTCATTGGCACAAAAACGTCCTGTTAATAGGTTTAATCATGCTGACAGGGACAGTTAATCACATGGTATCAAACAACATGCAAACAGCTCACGGTGAGTACGGGAAATTGCAGATTATTTTGCATGTTTTTACATAGCCAAGGTCAAAGAGTAGATAAAAAGGCATTTTGTCCATCCAAATACAACCACTGAACTCAATAAAAAATGTAAAAATACACAGTATATTTATTTAAAATATGTTACTGGTGTAGAAATTAAGAATTTAAAAGGGAACTTCATGCTGTTACATCTCATGCAAAGGTGTTGCTGTTGTTTGGATACATGGAAATGCTGTTGATTCAAGCTTTACAAAGATGTAGGCTCAAGCTAATTGATAAAAGATAAAAGTAGTGAGAATCTATAGCTTCCAAAAATGTGTGTGGATTAGGCTTTGATGCAAAAATAATTTTAAAATCCATCAGTCGTTTAACTTTATGGACTTTCACATAACTGACATTTATGTCTACTTTTTAAAAAGCCTTTTCACGTAGATGAAGTCAGTGATATTACTAATTCATGTGTCAAAAAAGCTGACTAATTATCTCAGCATTATCTTAATAAGACAATGAGAGATTATGGAGGTTTTCATGTGTCTGTATGACTCAAAGACCATAGATAACTAAATTCCCGTCTGTGATTATACATTTGAACTTTGACTTGATGACTTAACCGCAGAAAAAGAGCTTTTTAGTGTGAAGAAATATTTCTTCCCTCTGATGAGTTGGAATCCGGAGTGACGCATGAAGCTGGCTTCAACTTTACTTAACCCGCAACCTTTTCACCTTGCTGAGCCTGACCGAGGCGTGACCTCTAATGCTGCAGCAGATATTGTCTCATTGGCTCCATATGTAAATGCTGCGGCTACAGTCTTCCCACTAGTCAGTCATGGTCTTTGCCCTCCATGAATTTCACTGTAATTTGATCGCTCTCTCCTAATGTAAAGTACCGCTACTGACCCTGTGAGTAGCTGCTTCTGCATCACTTAAATCCCTTTGTGGCTGTTCTAGTTAACCATAAGCTTTTACCTTTGTATTTATCCTGGAGATCCCTTCGCTTAGCCTTAATTTGATGTCTGCCCATGTAATAAACAAACATTTTGTGGGGAAGACTGATAGACAAGTACATTATACCATAACACATAGAGACTGATCCATTATTAATATACTATACACTTGCTTGAACTCCAAAATCCATGTCTTCGACCTCCTAATAAAATGGAAACGAGCAGCCTTGATCTGTAAAGTAGCTTCATTTTGACATTTATTTAAGATTCTTATATTTTTGATGATGATGGACATTTCAAACCATATTAAAACAATTCTCAGTCCGTCCTAATGACAAAGAAAATATTTTGTGCCATAGATTTCTCTATTTATGGCTATTCGCCCCCAAAGATCATAAAAAAAGTCAGGGGTCTTGAGCCTCACACCCTTACCGTGTCACTGCATGTGTTCCCCACTGAGCTGCAAACAGGATTAAATCAAAAATATAATGGTGTTGCATCTTGAGGAAACTCATGGCATTGTTTTCATACTGCTTACATACAAACACTGTTGAGGTTTATCCCAACAGTCACTGCACTCCAGTGCCAGCCAAAATACTGTCACTTCTGGGTTACTTCACTGAGAGATCATGCTTTGTGACCCAGGGGGAAACGGATGGTGAAGAAGCCAACACTGAGATGCCCCCCTTTGCATGGCTTGTCAGATTAACTCTGTTTGTACCTAGCGTAACTCCTCTGTATGTGGGTGTCTCTGGGTCCACCGCTCTCCTCCTTGGTTTCATCAGCCATCCTTCATGATCCCATCTATTATTGAAACCAGTCATCCACCCCTCCTCCCCACGCTCCCCAAACCCAACCCCAAGCCCAGCCCAGGCCCCGGGACCCCTGCCCCCACCACGGGAGTTGAATTATGTATGGTGGGTTTCAGTGAGACGAAGGATTCGCAACAGCCACGGCCATGACCTACATAACCCCTGTAGCCCTGAGCATCCCATGTGACTAGTCTGTGTGCGGGCAGATGTACTCACATACACGTCACTAAAAACTGCAAATGTCTCACCAAAAGAAGACAATACATTTAGTGAATCGTGCAGAAAATTTAATTTAATGGAGAAAGACATGCTCACTCGCACACTAGATAGACCGGTTCATAAACCTGACTCCTGCAGACCTGGTGCGACGAGCTAACAAGCTGAGACAAACACCGATAGACTCTCACCTCCCTCTGAGTCCCTCCCTACACTTCCCCTGTGAAGCCCAGTCCCATCAATGCACATCAGACCACAGGCATCTCAGTCCTGCCACCCTGATCCCTCACCCCCATTGACCCGGTGTGTGCCCGAGGATCAGACTAAATAAAACGCCAGTTGGCGTGTAAGGGCGCCCGCAGAGCTGTCGCTTCGGCACGTGATGTGGTTTCAGTCCCACAGACAGCTTTACTAATCCCAGCCAGGCAGGGACTGCTTTGTCACGCGGGACTCAAAATGGCGGCCCAGCAAAAAAAAAAATGCTATTCAGTTGCGCCCCGAGTGGAGGGAAATAAAGCCGAAGTGGGGGCAATTATTCACTCAGAATGATAAGAATAGTGGCCGCTGGAAGTGAGTCGAGGTTGACACGCTCGATTAAAAAATGACGTCAATCAAATGTTTTGTTGTATGGAACCCAGCAGGGTTTAAACAGGGGGCAGATCAAAGTGTGAGATGACAAAGAGGACCTACGATGCAAGGTGACAGGTTAAAACCTACGGGCCAGCGCTTTCAGACCGAAAGAACACTCTTGAGGAGAAATTGCCCTCATCGAAATCCTGTCCTCCACATGAGGGTTCACTCAGGGGGCAGAGTCAGAGAGCACTCCCTCTGAACGTACAGTATGTGGCATAGTACAGTGAAATGTGTCTTTGTTTTGAGTTCACACATCGTGACCTCTTTTGTTAAATCCCCTGTGCTCTCCCCTGCACACAGAGGGTGCGAAAAGTATCGCGCAGTGTTACACACTCTATCGGTTGTTTGAGACTCTTGCCAAGGCGGGGGCCATCAAGAGGAGGTGTGAGGAGGCGGGAGGCAGAACATGACCTCCAGCTGCGGGGAATGGGACTCTGTAGTGTGCTGTGAACACAGACCACAGGGGTGTATCAGATACGCATCTCTGCAGTGACAACCTCCATTTTCTCAAGTTTGAGAAAGATTTCTCTGACTTGAGGAATTTAAACTGAAAACAAAACAAAATACGTGAGCTCTTTATTACATTTGATTACCCCTCTGTTTCAGCATTTATCTCATATAATCAACACATTTCAAATCAGTGTCAGGTCAAGACTTCAAATTGAGCCTCCCAGTTATATTACACAACTAGTTCAATCAAAATAAAATGTTCACAAATTCAAGCCTCAGTTACAGACTACGGATGTCAACTTGAAAACGTGATTGTTTTAAGGAACAAATTAAATGTCACACCTGGTCATTAGGAGTTTTGGATTTGATGTGTTTTTATTGCAGGGTGATTCAGACACTATAAGGACTCTGTTTAATAAATGAAGCTCAGCGCAAGTTCTTTCAGGAAGACTGGTATATACATTCACTCCGCAGCTGCATATAATCAGCTCATCACGGGCGTTTACACAACCTATTACATTCACCTCATTCTCCAGCAGCCAATCACTGTGCTGCAGCCAAACTTTAAAATGGTTCTCCCCTCTCCTGCAGTCAGCTGTGATTTCAGGTTGTCATGCTGCCGCCCGCCTCCTCCCCATCACACCTCCTCTTCATCCCATCTCACCTCCTCTTCATCCCATCTCCTCTTCAAATCCAGATCTTTAGCATCATCACCAGTGTCTAGACCCCGGGGGGTTCCCTATATGCTCACGGCTGCATTTCCCCCTTTAGATATACGATTTCAGGATCGGGGTCTAATCCCCAAAGACTTAACATTTATCATATGACATGTTGTCAATAAATGTTCTTTAAACAAAATGAAGTCTTTCCTGATTGAACTGTTTTTATTCTCTTCCTTCCCTCTAGATGCAATGGGGCTGTCAGATGTTACACATGTAGAGAGCATCCAGGAAAAGTCCCAGTGTGCCCTGGAGGAGTATGTAAGGAACCAGTACCCGAGCCAGCCGAACCGCTTCGGACGCCTCCTCCTCCGCCTGCCCTCCCTGCGCATTGTCTCTTCTCCGGTCATCGAGCAGCTGTTTTTCGTCCGCCTGGTTGGCAAGACACCCATCGAGACGCTGCTCCGCGACATGCTGCTCTCAGGCTCCAGCTACAACTGGCCGTACATGCCCACCGTGCAGCGCGACCGGCCCATCTCCCTCCACTACAACGAGAACGGGCCCTGAGGAGGACGGACAGGAAAAGCTGCGGGAGAAATCAGGCTGAACGTCCGTCAAACTGGTCATCCATCCATCCATCCATCCATCCATCCATCCATTCTCCGCGTTCAACTTCCTCTCCCAGCTTCTCCCTCACCATTCCACTTAAAAAACCCAGACTGACGATACCACCCGTTTCCCGGTTCCTCAAGCCAGCCAATCATTCATGGCCATTGCAGAGACTTGACGGCCCATCAGCCAACAGTGCAGGCTACATTTGAGATGTGGCACGAGATGGACAAGTTGGTAGAACGGGTTATTGCGCAGTTCACTAGCAGGTCTGATGGACTCACTTCAGATGTCACTTGTCTCAAACCCCATGAGAAAAGGGGGTAGCAAAAGACAACATATTTGCTTTGCTGTTGGTGCCTCAGTACGGTGAATACTGAGTAAGGGCTTTGCCAATGGGACTCTACAACCAAGAGCACAAGGCCTATGTATATTCACACCTTTTTGAAAAGAAAGCCCGAAGCCATTAAAAAAAAAAAGACAAATGCCAAAATGTCTTGGACTTTTGCAGAGGACATGTTTTATTGTGTGTTTGTATTAGCACTGTTAATATGGAGAGAAAACTCATGATTGTGTCCATATGTACAGTATATCGTTGATTCATAGGCATCTATAGCATATTAGAGTTCAATGGGAAAAGCTCAGGTTCAAAGGGTGGGTAGACAGACATGCCAATATCAGTACAAAAACAAAAAGACAAACACAGTAAACATTTACACTTATCAGCAGCCTTTGCCAAAGCTGACAATGCATATTGTTTGCATTCTTTTGTGATAGTGTTGGTAATGAAAATTGAATTTTTTGTTTGTTTATAATTTGACTATATAATTGTTTTGGGTCTCAGTGGGAAAGAAGGTGTTTGTAAAAAAGAAAATATACAAATTAAAGCTTATAGGCACTTGCATAGTCAGAACCAACACTTATTCACTCCTGTAAACAGCACTGGTAGATTCTTGCTACCCATTCGATTGATCTACCTTTTTTCATAATTCAAAAGGCCTATTAAAACTCCTCACATGTTGTTATCACAGGAGGGACACAACTTCTCCTCATTATTGTTTTATTGTCATGATTGTCAATAGTGGTCCTTGGGGGGGAGCATTTTACAAAACTAAACTAGCTGTACTTGGCTTAGAACAAAGATTTTGTCACTGAGCATTTATCTTATGACTGTGCCATAATCTCTCGTTACCTGTTATAACAGGTATTATGTCCTGTCAGGGGAGGAAATGAACTCACATGATGTACAAATTGATTAATGTGCACATTAAGTCAAAGCAAAGTGATGCAAAATGCCGATATTTTTTAATGCATCAATAGAGAGAAAAGATAGTTCTGCTTTAATATCATCAGCACTTTGATTTTTCAGGCCTCATGCGAGTTCTTTTCCTCTTCTTGATGAAATTGTCATGTAGGGAAAAAACCCTCGTCTCATGTCATTTGAGCTTATCGTAACGATACCGTAGAGAACCGTATCACTAACCTCTGAAAACCTCAGTCTATGTTACAATATTATCCCAGTTGGACTTATGACTGTGACTTAGCTTAGGACTATTTTACGTTTTTTTTTTCTCTTCCCTTTGGTGGAAGCAAGTTTGTTTTGACAACCTGTCTCACATTTCCAACATGACACTGTGGTATCAACTTTGGCATTGGAAAAGCCATCTGGGACCTGAGAAAGCTATCTGTTGATAAATGAATTCACAGAACGTTTGTTTTTATCTGCTCTACTTTTGTTTGGAAATATGGATTATCCAATAATTGAAATAAAAATCTGTTGTTCACAGAACGTTTTCTGTTGTCTTTCACCGTCATAAATTATTAAAACAGTACAAAAATATGTTCAAACCAGTAAACAATTAGTACTTTAGCCTGGTCTGAGATTGTTTGTTTAGTGCCTAAATGCACCTCTGAGTCGTATTTATCTTGTCCTCTGAAGTTTTTCTGTTCACAGGTGTGACTTTAAATCAAACAACCAGATATTTTCTAATTCAGATGTTCTTATGTGCTGATGATTCAAGAGTTTCATTACCACACAAACCAAGGAAGTTTCCCAACTGGGAGTCTTGTTACATTATCTATTGGCTATGAAAAGATTCATTTCGAGGGAGGTGACAGTCTGCACTCAGTTCACACTCTGTAGGAGATCAATGTTAATTGTTAATAGTAAAAAAGAAGAAACATTGCAAAAATGTCAGACATCATATTATTATAGGTTTGGGTAAAGATTACCATGGCGTAGTAAAAAAAAAGTAACATCTACATTACAAGGTTAATTTATTCATTAAATTACAAAACAGGGATGCACGGAAATGTAAGTTTAGCCTCTTTACACCACACACACAACATATCCATATTCCATTACAAATATTATTAATAAAATAAAACAATACAAGTGAAATACACTAACTTGTACACCAATCCTATATGCCTACCTAGACACACTTATTTATCATTTATAGTGAGAGTAAGAGCACACAACACTGATTTAATGCATCTCCTGGCCAGCAAACTATACCCGAATCAAACACACCTAAAATTGGAACAGGTGCATTCTGGGTACAGTTAAAATACTGTACTCAGCTAGCATGCCATGCTTATGGTGGATGCTGCAGGTGAAGTGTGCATTTACTCTGAAAAACGTCTTGAGGAGCGCAGTGGGACAGAGAGGATGATTGGACGTATTTTATTTATGGGTTAAGGATGTGTCTGGAGTAAACAAGATAGCACGAATGACGTTCAGACACGTGAGTACAACAACTAACATTGTAACAATACTAACTGTGGGTGCTTGCATATGTTTGTGTGCTTGTTGCACTACATACTCTCTTTCTGCTGTCATGTGTGTGTTTGTGGGCTGTAGCTGTTGTCATGTTTACTTTGAGTTTACATCTCTGTGCTGTTGTCTTGGTGTATTTATTATTCAGCTGAAATGGCAGGTTATTTACTTACAGTAATGTAGCCTTATGCGCGCTCTTATCGATTCTCGGTCACTTTAGTTGATTTCTGACTGATTTCTCTTCTTTTGGATTCTAATGTGGCTGTTCAAAGATAGGTGTTTTTATTGGGTTTATTGATCATCGAGTGTACTGTATACACAAGCAAATACCCATTCATAGAAAAAATCCATTGTTGGTATGGCACTGTTGAAATCTAACTAAGGCCACCCTATCTCCAGGACTGTACTTAGAATCATTTTAACATTCTTGCACTTTACTTAAGTATTTCCATTTGTTTCCCTGCTTTGTAGGCCTACTTCTACTCCATTTCATTTATGTTTAAAGCTTTAGATATGTGTTACTTTTTAGATTCAGGTATTGATTAAAAATGTAATTAAACAAAGAAGTTATTATCTATTATTATAGATTGAGATACATATCACCTCCTTCACCTCCTGCCCTGCCGTGGTGCCCTTGAGCAAGGCACCGGACACCCCCCTTCCCCCCCACTCCCATTGCTCCCCGGGCGCTGTACAATAGCTGCCCACTGCTCCTAGTACTAGACTCCTTGTACTAGGATGGGTTAAAAGCAGAGGCCAAATTTCACTGTGTGTGCTGTGTGCTGTGTGCTCTGCATGTGTGACCATTAAAGAGGGTTTCATCCCTCCCTATTCTATTCTATTCTATATCAGTGTTTTCATTGATTAAATTACCTCCATGTTATCAGAATCAACTTTCAAAAGATGTTCACATTAAAGGTAGGTAATTCGCTTCTTATTCAGAAACACTTTTTGTTATATTCCATGGAATGCTCTTAACATCCCGAGAGCAATAGAGAGGCGAAGTCCCTCCCTTTCCGGGGGACCTCCATGGGACCTTATTTCGGAAAGTATGTATAGAGAGGCGAAGTCCCTCCCTTTCCGAGGGACCTCCATGGGACCTTATTTCGGAAAGTATGTATAGAGAGGCGAAGTCCCTCCCTTTCCGGGGGACCTCCATGGGACCTTATTTCGGAAAAAGTATGTATTGAAGTCAATGGGGAGAGAAAGATTATCTTTCGATCCCGTTTGAATTGTGCCACGAATTACACATATGATGTTTGTCAATTTAAAAGATAATTTTACAAGTCAAAAAAATAAAAATGTGTCGTAAAACTGTGAAGTAACACTTTTTTTTGTGTGAAACCGCTCAATAAACTACATCTCCCGTCTCGCACCACACACCAAGACGGCCGTCACGTTGGCACATTTCACTTCTTTCTTTCAGAATGAGGCGAAAAGTATTAAAAGAGGTGAAAATCACTACAAGTCTGGGCATGTTGAGAGCTGTACATACACAAAAGGGGAGTTTGTCGGTTCCGTAAGAGCCAGCATGCGGGACCGAATTCTGGGATTTGTAGTCTTTCTAGTTGCGTATTTTTCATAGTCTTATATTTCAACAGTTTTACGACAAACTGTGACTTTTTTTACATGGAAATTATTTTTTAAGATTGACAAACATCATTATGTGTAATTCGTGGCACAATTCAAACGGGATCGAAAGATAATCTTTCTCTCCCCATTGACTTCAATACATAATTTTTCCGAAATAAGGTCCCATGGGTCGGAAGTAGATGGGCGGGACTTCGCCTCTCTATGAATACATTACACGCACACACCTCCACACGCAACCTCCGCTCCACAACCAACCATCGGTTTCGCCCCCCGAGGACCAAACTCCGCACAATGGGGGATCGGGCTTTCTGTGCAGCTGCTCCTCACCTGTGGAATTCCCTCCCAGACGACCTGAGGACTCCACAGACCACTGATGCCTTCAAGAAAGGCCTAAAAACCTTTCTTTTTAAAAAAGCTTTTGATTAAACTTTTGTTTCTTTTGTTTCTTTTTATTATGCCTCCTGTAGCACCTTGGGATTGCTGTTAGTAATGAAAGGTGCTTTACAAATCGAATTTATTACTATTATTATTATTATTATTATTATTATTATTATTATTATTAAATGCTTTGACAATAAATACATAAAAAAAATGCATCTGTGGAAGCCGTGGCGCTGTAAAAAGCACGACCAATTATTTTAGCCGGCCCGGCTAAAATAACTGGATGGCCTACCTGCCTGTCAGCCTTCCATCTCGTGCACAAACTTATCTCGTGCCCTCATTGGTCATGTGCGCGTTTGTGTGTGTTGGAGGAGGGGCTCTGTAAGGAAGTCTGAAGGAAGGGGCAGATTTGTTTCGGCTGCGTACTTTCAAATTCTAGTGAACTCGAGCTGGTTTCTCCATTCTTACCTACCCTACCTTTAATGCATCAATGTAGTAATCCAGCTATATAATGTATAATATTCTTAAATGGGCAATTCTGCATAATGAGTAGCCTACTTTTTTGTAACAGCAAATTACATTTTATTTGACAATTCTATTTTAGATACTATTTGCCCATGTATCCAAAAATAGCAGGGTATTTGAAACAATCCTGCATTAACACAAATAACACTTCAACCACAGAATATCAAGGATACATAATTCAACTGCTTTCAGATATTTCGTTGTCAAAGGCCCTTTGATTCAATAATGGAAAGAGGAACAAGCGCCAATCAATACCTTGAATCAATCAATGATTCTAAACAAAGTGGGAGTCACTCATGCTGGGATGCGGCCCAAGTGTTGATACAGGCCTGCTTGGTGCGTGACAGAAAGTAAAACGTGTGTGTGTGTGTGTGTGTGTGTGTGTGTGTGTGTGTGTGTGTGTGTGTGTGTGTGTGTGTGTGTGTGTGTGTGTGTGTGTGTGTGTGTGTGTGTGTGTGTGTGTGTGTGTGTGTGTGTGTGTGTGTGTGTGTGTGTGTGTGTGTGTGTGTGAAGGAGAGACTCTGAGAGAAAGAACACACATGGTCTTTGACCCCGGGTTCAAGGTGTGTGTGTGTGTGTGTGTGTGTGGGTAAATATAGCTGCTGGTTGCTCCAAGTGTTCACATTCAGACAGGGACCAAATGGAAAGAAAGACAGGGATAGGGACAAGAACAGGTTGGTGCATTTTGACTCTTAAACATAATGTCGACTTCCCTACACACACACACACACACACACACACACACACACACACACACACACACACACACACACACACACACACACAACCCACTCCCCCCACATGGTAACCTTGTGCCCCTTACACCAGTCTCCCCTCCTCCAACTCCCTCCCCCAATCCCTCAATCCCCACCCTCGATCCCACCCGCCCACCGCCATCACGCCTCCCCATGTGTGTGTGTGTGTGTGCGTATAAGAGTAGCCGATTGACTTATGCCTTCATTTCTGAGCTGTCACTCCTGGCCAAACACCATGACCCCTCAACCTCCATTTTGGAGGCGCACATTTTTTTCTTTCCTTCAGCGTATGAATATAAAAAACACATGTGGCCCAAAGGTGTATGTGTGTGTGTGTGGGGGGCTGTGTGTGTGTGTGTGCACATGTTTATGTGTACAGGTAAATCAAACGGACACAGCTCCTTTGAATGGCAGGAGCTGAATTACTTTTGCACTTCAATTTTGCACACCTGCCATTTATGGCGAACACCAGGCTCAGCATAAACCATAAAAGCGAAATATGTTGCTTCAAGATACAAATCAGAGCCCGTAAATATCAGAACCAGGTGCAGCAATTACAGGTCAATCCTTTGTGGGTAAATTACTTAGCATATTATATGTATGTGGTTATTGTTGTAGGTTTACGTTGTATACTATTAAGGGTATTTACTAAACATTTCTTGCTTTGATGGCAGTTTTTATTTTGAATCCTTAACAGTGTACAGATGGGGGAAAAAAACAATAATACCTCACATTAGGTTGAAAACTTATGGTAGC